AGAAGATCAAACAGAGTGCTGAGGGAGTCTATCCAAAGGCGGCAGGCTGGCCGGGTCTAAAGTAAACCGACTGCGCTGTCAAAGTCCTCCGAGAAGTGACACACGACAAGACAAGCAATTAGAAATGTATAATCGGTGTCACTCAATTAGTTTTGTGGATCAGCAATGCCATTAATACTGTAGCATTTATTCTCCAGGCGGCTTAGTCAGGCAGCTTTTTTAACAAAATGGTGTTCACCTTGGCAAATCATCTCTAGTGCCATAAACATCAAATGCAACGGAAAAAACGCAAACTGAACTGTACGACTTCATAAATGTCTGTCAATTCACCATCTATACTTCACACGCGCTCTGGAGAGTATCTTGGAATAGCACAACGGGGGGGGGGGGGGGGTGTTGAGTCAAATAATGTGTGCCTGTTTCCTTTTCCCCTAGTAAGGCAATGCACAGTTCTTTTTTTTCTTAGAAAATGTGGTGCCTGCGTGATGATCTCCTGTGATTATAGTGTTACGGTAGCCTAGGTCAAGATGTTTAGAGTCAAATGAAGTCAGGCAGTGAAAAACGAATGTTTTTCACTCACGAACAACAACGCTAAATACCACAGTCTTCAATACACATGGGCGGGAAAAACCATTGAAAACCAGTGCGGCAATTCATGACAATCGCGCAGTGCTGCATAGTGATGACGTGACTGACGAGATATGGTTTCAAACGATGTCTAATTGAACCCAGCCAAAGTGAACTTGGCAAAAGTACGCGGTAAATGCAAGGTAAACTGGGCAAACCGATAGTTCTGATTCACAAAAACAGCTCATTCGGCAAAGAGTTAAGTGCAACAAATCTCCACGCACACAGACGTACGAAGCGTTCCCAAATCTGATCTTTTCTCCGTCCCCTCCTGGCCTTCCGCGAACGGCGCCACCAGCTTCCGGTGGACCGGGGTAATCAAGTGACTAGGTGTGTCCAGGGACGGGCTGAGCAAGTCGTCCGCTTTATGACAATCATTTTCGTAAGGGTGGGCATCAACGGCGGACATTTCCCCCTGGACACCAGCCTCCAGTCGAGAGTGCCTCGACCGCGTTGCGAACCTTGTCCGTCGCTATGGCTGGGTGACAATGCAGTGAACGGCCATTCTGACCGCCAGGTTGTGAACAAAAACGTTCTCGGATGATCTAGCTGCATGTTTTGTTGAAATGACGTCTCGTTGTCTAGTTAGTAGGCACACCAAAAACCGCTTCCTAGCAACTTTTAGGTTGCGTGGTATTTGAGAAAACGAGAGTATCGCGTATATTTTTGCTTCGTCTGGTGTGCGTGGTAAGACATGATCATAACTCGCACACTTAGCCATTCAGTCAGCACATAGCTATGAGCTCATCTTGACCACAGAGGGCTCAGTCAAACTTTTCTGTTAAAGGGTCTCTTTACAATGCCAGGCGTCCTGGAGAGAAAATAACACGGATTAATGACTTCACTATAGGATTTTTCGTTTAAATGAACCGTCCAGTTCTTACAAAAAGCTTGCATTGTATGGTTTATATATCTAAATTCATATGGTGTATGATTACACAATTATATGATATCTCAATTTCATCAAATAACATCGTTAGCACCAATAGAAATTGAAGAGAGACCGAACTTGTGCTCTTTTGCACCAAGCCGATCATGGGAAGTTTGAAAATTACGAAGGTCCTAGCGGTCTGGGGGCGAGTGGGGAGCGAGATGCAACACCAGAATAGGGCGACGGGCCCTGGACGTCACACTTGCCGATGTGCGAAACCATAGCATGTGAAGTTATTTGATTGTGGCGAAGTGCACCCCTGCCATAGGTACGTCTCTCTGACTGGGGGGCGGGGGGAGGGGAGGGGGGCGAAGGGGGAGACGCACCTTGTCGGTTTTACAATATTACGCGTTTGTGGCGAGCAACGAAAGTAATGCACCAGACAATTATTCTTCTCTTTCAGTTCTTTGACCACCTGGCAATGATGCTGGCCTGCCCTGACAGCGCAGGTGGGGATGAAAGTTGCGGGGATCCACGAACAAAACTTCAACAACTGGCAGGCTACTTACCCATCTGCCTTCCTATACATGCCTCTACCCACGGTCATAACATACTCCAACATATGTGTTCGGTAAACGATGGGGGCCGGGGAGGATGTCACTCCCCGCCCGTCTTTCATCGCATCGCATCGAAGCAGATGTGAGCAACGCTAAAATGTCACATTATAGCGATGAGAAGCGTCATCGTTCTCGCACGTCACCAGTTAACAGCACAACATGGCTGCAGCATAAGCTCTTGAGGAAGCTGATGAAACATGCCGAGAAGTGTTCTTGAGATAGTGTGTTCAATGATTGAAAACTTGAAAATGAATACAAGGTGAGCACATTTTGGAAGAAAACAAAAACAACATCTTTTCCACGAAAAAGCAAAGCTTTCAAAATGCCTCGGTTTGCACAATAAGTGACAATACTACCCAGCAAATAGCCATTGTTGCTTTTACAGGTAAGAGAAGATTCACCGGTTGCACCTAATCATTATGCGTTTTAAAAGGATCGACGACTTTTGAAAACTCAGTTGGATGTGCTGGTGCTATTGCCACCTCGCACCGAACATTGAATTATGTCTGAAAATCATGGAAGTATATGCAAAGGGATGATGGAGGCTTCGACAGGTTCTATGCAATCGTAAAACGCGACGGAATTACGTGGTTAATCAGCAGTAAAACGTATATCTGGTGATCGGATGATTAGTGGCAACGGCGGTTATGTTAATTAAAGGGCAGCAACGCGGATGCGCTGCGACCAGAAGAGTAGGCCGCCCGGAAAACATCTCACCATGAGAGCGGTTCGTCACACCACCAGGGCGGTTCATCTCACCACGAGAGCGGTTCATCCCACCACGAGAAGGGTTCATCTCACCACGAGAGCGGTTCATCTCACCACGAGAGCGGTTCATTTCTTTTTGGTCTGACCTGCTACGGATCAAAATACATTGCGTAATGGCATTTTGTGCCAGCGCCCAATGCAAACATCTTTGTTCAGTCGAATAGACCATGAGTCCATTCGTCCTTGATGGGCATGGCCTGCGGCCGGTGGCAGCGGCCGCGCTAAAGGTCAAAGGACGCCAGAAGGAGGACGGACTGTGCTGAGCCATTGCCATTTACCGTATTATTGCGACATGTTCAGCTTTCGCCACCAAATTCAGTCATTTACATGGAATTGCGAGATCAGGTGGTAGGGGTAAGCGCTCACAAAGACACTACTTAGCGTGACCTTTGATTCCAGAGATCCGTTCATTCAAAAAATTCGAATTAAATCCTTTAAAAAATGAGCCTTCTTAGTGCAAACATGTGTCTAGATTCCAATGGAGGATCCAGGACTCCCTATGATCCTATGTTTGTGGCATCCTGGAATTGTTGGGGCTCCAGACGCATGTTGGCTGCTTGGATTAGAATAACAACGGTGCCAACAATTGTAGTATAACGAACAACACAAACAACACGACGTCCTATCACGAAAATGGATTCCATTGGTAGGGGGTGATGCACCGATGAGTCATGAATCATATGGACCAATATTGAGCCAAGAATGGCGGCTCCTTGACCACGAATAATCCTTCACATGCGGCCATGCCTCCATTATCCCTGCGAAAGTGATGGCGCAACCAAATTATGGCTTCCACCCCAACCACTAGACGCCTTCAAACGCATGCATCATATACCAATGTTGTGTGCAATGATAGCCGTTTTCACTGGAGCTGCAGCGAGAAATGCTTCCCAACGGGCAAATTCTTTGCGAAAATAGAACATTAATATTTGCAAGAAAAGACGTTTAACCCATCATTTTTCAAAGGACTTATCTGAATTGGAGAAACATATAATTGCTAGGACTTATCGTTTGCAGACCATAATTATTTCTCTCGATTGGAGCACTGTCAAAGGTAATATTTCTTTTTTGAACTATTGTTTGAGAGTTATTGAGATTCATAACTTGCCATGGCGTTCGCTGTACTGACTGAACCTGAGCTGCCACGATGCCCTCAGTTTTTTGCCGTTCTTTATGGTGCTTATGGTAAATTACTGTAACCGCATTGTATGCTGCTATAACCGCTGAATCGGATTGTCCAGTGTTCCAAACTAGCGGTACAGTCCTGAACAGGGAGTACAAAAAAGGAAGTTTACAGATGAAGTCCCACCTCTGAAACCGCCCTGATGCATACGACCAAGTGATTTTAGCGCAAGACAAACTTGATTATGTGGTTAATTCAGACCGATTTGAGATGAAATCTTTTATCACTCTTTCTTCCCACGGAAAGCAACGGCCGACTTTAATTTTCGCTGAGCATTTCGAAAGTTTTCGCAATAACTTAATTCACTGCACCATCCACAAATGCCACCAGTCTGACAAATTTGCACAATTCTCAACTCGCGTGTGCCCTTAGAGCTTTTCCATTCAATCATGGTGTGCCCTCCACGACATCATTCCATTCGACGTGGGCAATAATGGCGCTGCCGCAGCTCCGGCGGGGCTCACCGCGGCTGCCATGGGCAGAGCAGCTGCGTCTCTGGTGTAATTCTTCCCGCCCTTAATCCTCTTGTCATTTGGCCAGGACGGTGGTGGCCCAGGTATATGGACGGCCAATTTACGAACAAAACTAACTAAGGCACTTCATCTTCCTTTATTGCCGACGGCAAGGCGTTGACCGGGCGTTCCATTCGCAGGCACCGCCGCAATGCTTGCTGACGGCCCGGCGGCGGAGCATGGGAACCCTGACGACTCGAGGACGGAAGACGGTCCTGCCGAGCTGGTACGCACCCCGGGGCCTTCCTGGCCGACCCCTGGAGCCGGGCTGGTACAGCAGCCCGCTGGAGCCGGGCGGGCGCGGCCCGGTCGCGGCCGATACGGCCCCCCGCGCCGCGGTCAGCATGCTCGGCGTGCTGACCCTAGCACTGCTGCTGACCCCGCCCTCTGCTGACGGTGAGTGCCAGCCGCCGACCTGCGTCATGCTCGGCGTGCTGACCCCGCCCTCTGCTGACGGTGAGTGCCAGCCGCTGACCTGCGTCCGCCGCTGCGGGCTGGACCTCTGAAGTCCCTGAGGCCTCGAACCCCGTGCGGGACTGGTGCCGGCCGGTGGCGTGCCCAGTATCAGCGCCAGGCACCGGCCGGCCACTGACGCTCGCTGCGACAGCCGCGCAGGACCGGATGGCGCCGCTCTGTCCGTGGAGGGGACTGCTCAGGAGCACAGATGGCTGGCGCCTGATCGCACCCGATCTGCTCAACCTTGTGGCCGGTGTTTAACAATAATACAAAATGTAGAGGCCCGCTAAGCTGGAATTTCTTTTTCAAACGCGGAGTTGTTCCAGTAAAGGATATTGCATGTGTATTGACCGTCACTTTATTGACGGAAGTTTTAATTCCATTCGTTGAAGCTTTCCAATCAGGCCTCCGACAGTTTCCTTGTTCGAGTCGTGCTTATGAATCGCCGTCTGCCAGCTGAACAAGTGGGTGCAGGAGATTCGTTGATAAAACTGCGGGTCGACCAAACTCCTAGTTGAAACCCTTCCCTGGGCGTCCATGTTCATCTTGAAGAGTTCGTTACAATTGAACGCTTAGATCAGCATCAGTTTGTTAACTACATTTTTACCGATCCATGCATAAATAACCTAAATGTTCAGTTCACACATCCACTTAACGAAACAGTCGGGATCCGTGAGTTTTAAGGACGTATTTGGCTGCCACAGACTTACGAAATATCAATACCCGAATAGCATATCCGTTTGAGAAACCACCCACAGCAGACCAACTAACTGCACTTTCTGACGACGAAAGGATCTGCATGGCCTTGATTTACTCTGACGCTACTAAGAAGAATAAAGCCATTTCATTAAATTGTAAATCCGCCTCTCCATCAAAACTTCATCGATCCACCACTGGTGCCATGGGCTGGCCAGGCGCCTGGCCGGCTTGCTGCCTGAGTAATGCTGCAACCCTAGACAAGGTTTTACTTGCAGCTCATGCATCGCGTCAATCATGCTCCGTTGATCGGAATAAGCGCCGGAATATTGGGTTTCATGGTTGTGCTTAATGAGCACGTTTTTATATCCAAATGAGGGGCTAGTAAGCGTTTCACGATGTTTCTCTAGCGTAACGCAATGCATCCTGATTAGCAGGCTGGCGTGCTTGCTTCATTTTTTCCAAACTACTATTGTTACGGTTTTAAAGTCACAGCTTTCGATTAATGAGTTTACGACTTACGTTTACTTGTTGACCAAAGCGGGTAAAAAAATATAGAGCGGTTTGGGTGGAGCTGTTGTCTGTGAAGCTTCTGCATATTATCCCGGCCGAAAGGATTTCAAGGCGCACACGTAAGCTTTACCGAAATGCAAATTTTGGAGCGACATAAACAGTTTTTCAATCGTCTTCGGGACAGATAACGTCATGGTTGTCCAGAATTTGATATGCCTATATCAAAGATTGGCATTATGTTGCAATTAATACCCGTAAAGTGTATGCAAACTTCAACAGAGCTGGCAAAATCCTGCTTAAAATTTTATTTCTGAGTACAAGGGTCCTCCCGATGCATGTTCAGCATGCATTGCTAATGCCCCTGGTAGTCCTGGTAGCTACCAACGCCATCCTGCCATCCAGTTAGGAGACCGCCGGCAGACACGAAATGTCACGCAGGCAGATGCATCATGCCAATCATCATCTGACCCATGAATATTTAATGGCGTCACCTGCGCCAGGGAATGATCCGTATACTGGTGCCTGGGGGAGCCGTGTCAGCTTCCTCCGGATGACCTGGCGACCTCGGCACCCTGGCGGGGCGGAGTGCCGAGGCACTCTGCGCACCTACGACCCCGCAGCTGTGTCGCGCCCGGCCGCGCCCTGCCAGCGCAGGGCGTCGCCGCGCCCAGCCGGAACAGGTCAATCACTGCCCACTGCCGGACTCCAGTTCGACGCCAGCGGGCCGCCGCCTAATGAATTCCTGCACCAATCGATGTGACAGGGCGCGGCCGTGTCCGCGACCGGCGGACAGCTCCCGGGCGGCCCAGGAGCGCCGCTCACGTCTCGTCTGGCCGCGGCGCGCTCGTGACCGGCGCGCGTCGGTCGGCCGCGGTGCCGCCCTGGGACCGGCTGCAGCGGCGCTGCCGGCCGGCCTGCCGGCGCGCGCTTGGGACCGGCCCCGGCCACGGCGCCGGCCCGCAGCTCGGCACGCGCCTGACGTGACCCGTCGCACTCGGAGCGGCGAGCCGGCCGCTCGGTGCTTCCGACGGCACGCGGCCGCGGCCCGGCCGGCTCCGGCGGCCGCCGTGACGCGTAGCGCTTCCGTTCGGGGCATGCCGAACCGGTTAACGGCGTCGCGGCCCGCTGCCGGGGCGAGCGGCGGAGCACTCCAATGTCGAACGCCCGCGGCGGCGGCGGCGTGCGCCCCCCACCTGACCTTCAGTCGACGGCCCGAGCCGGTGAGACACATAGCGCTCGTAACTCAGCCGTGGCAGCTGGACGGGCCGTGTCTGGCCGCGGCCGCAGTCCATCAGCACGGTCCTGCATCTCGCGCCACACCACTGTACATGCAAACTGCCGGTCCGGCGGCGCCCACCGGGCGGTGACCTCCGGAGCTCCGGCGGGGGAGGCTCCGGAGTCCCGAGAGGGGCCAGCGATCAAGCAGAGCGTCTCGCTGAGCGACACACTGCGCCGAATCCATTTGCTCGACTTATCTGTTGCTGGCATCAGTCTGAATGGCTGAGCATTACCTGGAATGGGCGGTGAAACGACGACGAACATCTGCCGCGAATGGCTGCAGCTCGCCCCAGGCACCGCTCGGCCGTCCCCTCCCCTCCGGCTCTGAGCTTCCCCCTGCCGCACGTCGTCGGACGACTGAGCCCTGTTCGGACTGCGCAGACCGCGCGCTTAACCGTCTGGCTCCGCCCCATTATCCACGGCTGGTTGTCTGGCTCCGCCCCATTATCCACGTCTGGTCGTCTGATCCGCCCCATTATCCGCGGTTGGTCGTCTGATCCGCCCCATCATCCACGGTTGGCCGTCGCCAACCCGCTCGGTCATCCTGTCAAGAGTCTGTCCAAGTTGCCGCCAACCACTACCCCTCCTGCCCAGCGTCTGTCTACGTTGCCGCTAACCAATATTCCCTCCTGCCCAGCGTTTGTCCACTTTTCCGCCAGCTCACGCACATCTCCGCCTAGCAAGTGCCGGACCATCTCGCTGCCAGTCCGCACAGCCGGTCCTCCTGTCAGTGAGACCATCAGTCCCGCCGTTGATGCGTGTGTTCTGCCGACCGTCTGGCGCTGAGAGCGTCTGTGCCTCAGCCCATCGGCCGGTCCACATGCCTGCTGATGAGGTCTCCCGATGAGGTCTCATCACCTGACCACCCACTTCGTTCGTCTGCCGGCCCGCCTGGACAGTGCATGCAATGTAACGCTGCGGTCAGCCAGCAGTCCCGCATGGCCCGCTGGTCCCGCCACCCGCTGGTCTGCTGGTCCCACCGACCGCTGGTCCAACCGACCGCTGGTTTGCTGGTCCACTGACCGCTGGCCCGCTGGTCCCACCAACCGCTGGTCCGCTGGTCCCACCGACCGCTGGCCCGCTAGTCCCACCGACCGCTGGTCCACTGGTCCCATCGACCGCTGGTCCGCTGGTCCCACCGACCGCTGGTCCGCTGGTTCCACTGACCGCTGGTCCGCTGGTTCCACCGACCGCTGGTCCGCTGGTTCCACTGACAGCTGGTCCGCTGGTCCCATCGACCGCTGGCCCGCTGGTTCCACCGACCGCTGGTCCGCTGGTCCCACCGACCGCTGGTCCGCTGGCTCCACTGACCGCTGGTCCGCTGGCTCCACCAACCGCTGGTCTGCTGGTCCCACCGACCGCTGGTCCTCTGGTCTCACCGCCCGCATGTGCGCTGACCCCTGGGTTTGTCGTCCATCTGTTCAGCCGTTCGCTAGCTCGCTTCTTCAACGGTCCCCGTGAGCACCGATCTGCTCCTGCACTGGCAGTCAGCTGGTTCACAGGTCTGCCCCAGGATGGTTACCAGCCAGCCTGCTGATCGGTCTGCTCCCGCACCGGTTACCAACCAGCCTGCTGATCGGTCTGCCCCGGCACCGGTTGTCAGGCAGCCTGCTGATCGGTCTGTCCCAGCACTGGTTACGAGCCAGCCTGCTGATCGGTCTGCTCCTGCACTGGTTTACCATCCAGCCCGCTGATCGGTCTGTCCCAGCACTGGTTACCAGTCAGCCTGCTCGCCGGTTCGCCGGCGCGCTGATCACCAGTAGCCTGCCCGCCCGGCCCCCGCTCCGCCCGCCTGCCGTCGGGCCCGTGTAATGGCCGGCCGGCGCGGCCCGTCCGCTGTCCTCTGGTCTCCCGCCTGGGCCATCTGGAGTCGCCAGCGTACGCCGCCCGCCCATAAGCCGCGGGATTTATGGCCGCCTTAACGCCGTTGTTTGGCGCTCGTCGAGGACGCGTCGAGAGCGCCGGAGACTGTCGGTGGCCGAAAAATGAAGACGGACGCGGCGGAAGGAGGGCCGATGCAGCCCCGAGCGGCTGGCGGCGCCTCCGTTTACCGCTGACTGGCAGCCGGCCCCAGGTGGCCGGCGGCGGCGGGCCTCAATCAGAGCAGTTACCGCCGCCCTCCCACCCGATCCCCGCCGAGCCGCGCGCCGACAACACTGTCGGACCTCCGCTGAGCCGCGCGCCGACAGTTATCGCCCCCCTCCCACCCGATCTCCGCTGAGCCGCGCGCCGACAGTTACCACCGCCCTCCCACCCGATCTCCGCTGAGCCGCGCGCCGACAGTTACCGCCGCCCTCCCACCCTATCTCCGCTGAGCCACGCGCCGACAGGTTACCGCCGCCCTCCCACCCGATCTCCGCTGAGCCGCGCGCCGACAGTTACCGCCGTCCCTCCCACCCGATCTCCGCTGAGCCGCGCGCCAACAGTTACCGCCGCCCTCCCACCCGATCTCCGCTGAGCCGCACGCCGGCAGTTACCGCCGCCCTCCCACCCGATCCCCGCTGAGCTGAGCCGCGCGCCGACAGCACTGTCGGACGGCCTGCCAGTCAGACGAGCGGGCGGCTCAGTGGTGGGGCGGTGTGTGATTGCCTCAGAGTGGGCGGCTTCAGCTCAGACGGCGCCGCACGGCCTGTGGGACTCCTCTTCCGCCGGCCCGTTCACCAGGCGGCGCGTTATCGGAAGGGGAGGGCGGTCGAGTGATTCTGCCCTTCTCCTCCCCTGGGCATCAATCAGAGCGGTGACGGGCGGTTCTCCTCACTTGCGGGCCCTCGGCAGCCGACCGGGGTGCGGAGCCGAGCTCATGCATAAAACATGGACGCTGCATTGACGTCCACCTGGAATTTTGTCAACAAAGCTGTTGAAATGTAAATGAGGAGTGATTTGAGGAGTTAAATGGAAAGAGCCTTTATCTGAATGTGCCTCTCTGGCGATAATTCTAGCATAGATTGACAGAACTGCCCATAATGTCGAGATGCTGGCAGTTTGATGAGTCTGCAGATTCCAATAGAAAAAAACGTCTGTGGGATGTCAGTGACGATTTATTTTGTTTGCAGAAAATCTATGATTGTTATGTGTGATTTAGGTTGTCAAGGAAAAGTCGTCTTTTCTTCATGACAGAGGCACCAACAACATGGGCACTTGTTTTCAACATTTGTGAATGCAAGTGGGCTTTTTGCGGTGTTGGGACAAGCGCTGCGTTCTCTCCAAGTGCCTTCATCTTCTATCTTTTTGCATTCTTCCACGCCCCATGTCTCTCCCCTTACTACCCTCTCTCTCTCCCATCATCTTTCTTTCCCCCTCCCTCTCTCCCTCCCCCTCTCTCTCCCTCTCTCACTCTCTCTCCCCCCCACCCCTCTCTCTCTCTCTCTCTCTCTATCTCCCGCCCGAACCTCTCCGCGGCACTTGAATGTGTGCCGGCCGGTAGCCGTCTGCCGCTAACTGCGGTACGCCGCGTCCCCCAGGTCTCAACTTCGAGCACGTGCTGCGTCCGCCGGCCAGCACGCCGGCGCCCGGTCCCTATTACGACGAGTACTTCTCGGGCAACGTCACCGTCCTGCTGGGCAGCGCCGCCAGCCTCAACTGCCGGGTGAAGCAGGTCGCCAACGCCACGGTACGGGGACGCCGCGGCGGCCAAGGGATGGAAGTTTGCGGCCGACTGGGCCGTAGGCGGACCGAGTGGTCGTAAAACGGTCACCGAACGGGCCCGGATCTGCAGAGTGGTATTGGTGGCTGAGGTTCTTGGGCTGTGGTACTGCTCATCGCCAAATGAACCCTCCGGACGCTGGACATCTTTGGGAATGTCCGCTGTTGTGACTCAGTGATAATAACGTGCGCTGTTGTGACTCAGTGATAATAACGTGCGCTGTTGTGACTCAGATGTCAGAGACTGGATGACTTTGGTAAGCTACTTATAAAATAAGCGAACTGTGGTACGTTGAAATGTTGTGTCGGGGGCAACGCAGCGCACGCGTCTTTTCCCTATACAAAAAGCTGTCCCATTGGTTGTCCACCTCCTCCCTATATTTTCATCTTGTGCGGCAGAAGAGAAAGAAAGCAGCACTACACAGATGTCGTTTCTGCAGCGCTCTATTCTCAGACCGCGCTTGCCAGGCGCAGCTCCTCGCGGCACGCTCCCAGCCGCGGCTCTCACGGCACGAGGTCGGGTCACGCCATGTGACGTCACTGATTGTCAGCAGACCCCCACGCATCGGCCCGTCTCCCACGCCAGGCCGAGCGGACGGGCCGGGGTGATTGCTCCCGCCGCTTAAGCCCATATGCCGATGGGCCTAGATTACAGGAGCTGGCGGCAGTGCTCCCACGCAGGACATCCCACGCCGGCGCGCGCGGCGCCCGGTCCCCCACACGGGCCGCTGGCGCGTGCCAGCGGACGCTGCCGACGGGCGGACTGACACCCCGCCCGCCGCTGGTGCCGATGAGTGCAGAGGCTCGCCTGGAGCAGCGCTGTGGCGTCATCAGTCGGGCAGTGACGTCATCAGTCGGGGAGGGATGCCTGGTGCGAAGAGGCCGCCCCCGACGGGAACTGTAGCGGCGACGTGTTTCTTCATGTAGCCTCATCTATCGCATGGTCCCACCATATCTGGAAATCGGAGTAAGGCCCAAAAATATTATGGAAGATCGGTTGTTGGCTTGAAGCTTTTCGTTCGAGGCTGTTCATATTTGAGAAGTCGAGCAATATTCAAAGTGGTTGCAATGTATGCCCAAGTGTCTAATGTAAGTTACTGTTTTCTATTTTACAGCAAGTATGGTATGCGCATTTCCGTCTGACGGACTGTGGGATGAAGCAGTTCCTTACAGTTTAAATATCTAGGGGGCAGGGAGGCAAACCCGGTCATGTGCTTTTACCGCGAGAAAATAGAACATTGTGAAAGGCGGCTCTTAGGTTTTCCATGAGGTGACGTTTAATGTACGTGTACGGGAACTATGCCACACGCAATATTTCTCACGTTAATCGAAATTTTGACAACAATAATTGTACTCCTTCGTAAAGATGGAGTTGATTGTTAACGCCAACATGGTGGGTGTGAAATGGCGCCGAAGCCGACGCGCCCTTCAGCACCATAACACCACAACCAAACGCCAAATGCTTATGATCAATTATTTATTACGTCCAGGGCAAACACGAAAACTGTCAACAATGTCTCCAAGCCGCATCGACCCAGGCTGTCACATTACGGCCCTCAATCCGGAGTTTCGTCACAGCGGTGCTGGCGATGGCATCAGCTCTGACACGCCGGCGCCGTTAGCCGAGGTCACCCATCATTTCCACAGCACCGCCAGCATGCAATCTGAACAAAGGGACCGATCGCCGGGCTGAGCACTGTTGCAAACACGCTGACTTCACACCCTCTGTAATCGGCTGCTCCGTTCAGGCGGGTGTTGCACGAGCGTCGCCCATTGTCATTGATTAGCGGGCAGCGACCGGCGGGCAACCGTCCCCCAGGGGCTCTGCGGACTGCCGTCACCAGCAGTAAGATGGCTGCACAGGAAACCTGACCCAAGCCACGCGGATCAAGGATGCAGTCAGCGTCTACCGGCGAAAAACATTTTTGTTTAAAAGCCCATTAAAAGCGGCGGTTTTCGACGCAGTAATGTTTGCCATGTCGTACAGCTTTGATGTGCTGTGCAGTTGCGTCAGCAGTACTGCTGGCGCGTAGCTGAACAGCGTATCAGCTGTTCCCGGGAGGCCGGGCCAAAGAACTTTAACACCGAGACACCTGGATTTTGCACTTGTGGACATAGCCCGGGAACATTTGTTTGCCTAGGCTGAGATGTAAATACAGGCCAGGCGGGAGCTTTTGACGTTAAATACAGAGGGCAGGCTGGGGGAAGTAATTGCAGCAGAGAAGTGCTCAAGTTTTTCTGGAATTTCAAGAATATTGGGTCCTTATGACAGGCCTTCAACCGCAGCAAATGTAAAATAAGTAGACTTGCCCCTAATCCAATGATATAAACAGTGTCACGCCAATAATTCAACGAGCAGCTAGACGCATGTTGTTTTCCAACCTTGAATGTGCTGGTCTTGGGGTCCATACAGGTCAGGCAGCTGTGTTAGGCGACCACTTTCAGCTGTGATGGCAAGGAATGTCTGTTACGGATTACTTTAATATATGTATTACTTTGGATGGCACACTACGCGAAGAAATTATGCACCTTAAATTTCCTTCCGTTGAGAGAAAAGAGAAGGTTTGAGCAGCATTTGTATTACAGAACTCCTGTCGATAAGCTCTTCATATCGGTGGTTATTCAGCTCTCACATGGGCCACCCCGCTCAGGCCGGTCAGTATCTCACCGCTGCCGCCTGCATTCAGCTCTCACTTGGGGCACCCCGCTCAGGCCGGTCAGTATCTCACCGCTGCCGCCTGCATTCAGCTCTCAAGTGGGCCACCCCGCACAGACCGGTCAGTATTTCAACGCTGCGGCCTGCATTTGCCGACAAAACAGACAGTTCGTCCAAAAAGAAATTCTGTGTTTTGTCTTGGATGAAGCACATGTGTGAACAGAGCTCCAGCTTTTCAAAAACCTCGTTGAAAGAGGAACATTGGCAGTTTTTTCACCGTCCTTGGGCATGCCCCTCACACCTCATGCCCCTCTTGGATCCGCCCATGCTGACCCCGATCGCTTCTCCTGGGCTGTTATCGGCCGGAGCCGCAGTCAACAAATTGCCAAGCAATTTGGCAGACACTTGATTTGGAAATACGACACTCTCGGTGCGAGTTCAAATGGCGACTCGTAAGCCAAACTTCCATGCGATTTATGACACTGGAAGTTAAGTCCTAAAGTCCACCGAATAAACACTGGCCGTAGGTGGCTAAAACGGCAGTGAATCTTGTTGAAGGAAATATGTTTTCTGAGATTGCACGAAAGTAGATGTTTCAATGGGAAATACTAAGGTTCCGGAAAAGAGCCTGGGAACGCTGCTCGACAAGCCCGAATTTGGCACACCGAATCTATTTGCGTACGTGTAAAATATGCTCTGATCCGAAAGGTTGTGCTCTCTCTCCAAGGATCATTTCCTCGTCGTTTTGACTGCACGACGATCAGTTTCAAGCTGTTTTCGTGGTGGGAGTGAAACGAACGAGCAATTGGGACGATATGTTCTCGAGTGGTTGCGAGTGGGCACTCAACCTCGCCATTGACGTCACCTCCAATCAGGAGTTGGTGTCAACCCTGACACTCTCTGGGTGACAGTCGGTTGTGGGTTGAGTCGGAGGTGGTGAGACGTTGGCGGTGAGCGCCCGCGGCACCGGACCACCTTGCGGTCACGGGCACCCGGTCCGGTCACGCGCCGGCCGGTCGGTCGGCCGGGCTAGTCCACAGCGAAAGAAATGCGGTGAAGATCGCAGCTTCTTCGCCTGATATGTATTCTCATTTTCCACGTGTGCTTCTCATCTGGCACCTCGGCCGAGGCTAGCCAGCTGACGAGGCCGGATCGCGACCAGGTCACCCCTGCTGGGACAAGACACTCCGCGGAGAGGATGGCCTCTCGGGTAGGACACACCTTTGCAGGCTTGAGGCTACATGCACGACACTGGTGGCGCCGGTGGGGTCTTGTTCAGGGCCACGGGGCGGACACTGTGGACTCTCCGCAGTGAAAGGTGCACCACTGACCTCCTCGTGACCCGGCAGGTGTCATGGATGCGCGCGGCCGATGTACCGACGCTGCTGTCGGTGGGGAGCTACACCTACACCATGGACAATCGGTTCCGGGTGGAGCACAACCGGCACACCTCGGACTGGACCCTGAAACTCGAGCGGACCACTCACAACGACTCGGGCGTGTACGACTGCCAGATCGGCACGACGCCACCGCTCACCAGGCACATCTTTCTCACCGTGGTCGGTGAGTACCACACAAGTCCAAGTTCCCTCACCGTGGTCGGTAAGTACAGCACAAGTCCTAGTTTCCTCACCGTAGTCGGTGAGTACTGCACAAGTCTTAGCTCTCTCACCGTGGTCGGTGAGTACCGCACCAATCCTAGGATCCTTCAATCGATCAATCCTTTCCCGCACGGAAAGCTGGAGTGGATCCAAGTGGCCCTCCCCACCGGCCAAGGCCCGCGTGTTCGCGCAAAGCCGGAGTGGATCCTAGCGACTCTCACCACCGGCCAAGGTCCGCGTGTTCGCGCAAAGCCGGAGTGGATCCAAGCAACCCTCACCACCGGCCAAGGCTCGCATGTTCGCGCAAAGCCGGAGTAGATCCAAGCGGCCCTCACCACCGGCCAAGGTCCACATGTTCGCGCAAAGCCGGAGTGGATCCAAGCGGCCCTCACAACAGGCCAAGGCTCGCATGTTTGCGCAAAGCCGGAGTGGATCCAAGTGGCTCTCACCACCGGCCAAGGCTCGCATGTTTGCGCAAAGCTCGCCGCGACAATGCTGCACTCTCTCATAGGGCGGGGACGAATGCACTTTTCCATTACAGAGGACTCCCGGACCATGAGCAATGAGCACTTCCGAGGCGGCCATCTATCTGTTCCTCTTGGATAGCCATCCATCCTTCTTTGGTTGGTCTTTACCGTGGCATGCAATCAGCTGTAATGGCTCTGCCAGTCAGTGGAACTAGGTTATTTGGGGGGAATTGGTGTAGACAGACATTAAGAACACCATACGCGTTGGATGAAGGAAACAAGCAAGCTGTGAAAACCGTCATTTCCTCTGGGGGTTTGTCCATTGCTGATCCCCTCACACCCATACTAATTATTCATAGGCGATCGCGCCTTACGCCCGGCACTGGAAGCGGGCGAGGTTGGGGGGCTGATAAATCGGTTCGAACCTAACGCACCCATATTGCCTCCGGAGATTTCCAAGTGATTAACAGTACCAGAAACCTCAGTTCCATTCGGCTGTTGCTATCCGCGCTGCAGATCAGCCCACAGCCCACTAATGCCAGCACCAGAGATTCGTTCTCCTTACGATGGAACTCAGCGCCGGAGAGCGGTCCCTCGCCAACGTCTTCAACGCAGGAAAACCGACATCGTGCCAGAGCAGTAAATCAAACCACCAGCAAACCAACCCCACAGGCCTGTATCTGCTGATCCTCAAATCCTGGCATCAGAGAGCCATCAAACGCACCGGTCCCAGCCGCCGGGAAAGAGATTTACTACACCCATCAGCACCGTGGCTGAGCTCCCCGGTGCCGGCTCGGGGCCGGTCCCACCCGCCGGTAAGGAGACTTACCAGAGCCACTAGCACCGGGGCCGAGCTGTCCTCGGGCGCTGGCTCGCTGCGTGAGCACAGCCGACGGTGTTTCCACTCCTGCCATGTCCACATGTCCACATCCGTTGCCTGTGGCGGGGCGGCAGATGCGGTCTGCTGCTGGCCCGGTGGCGAGGGGCCGAGCGGCCCCGGTGTACCACGGTCCGCTGCCGGCTCGGTGGCGAGGGGCTGGGTGGCTCCGGTGTGCCGCGGTCTGCTGCCGGCTCGGTGGCGAGGGGCCGAGCGGCCCCGGTGTGCCGCGGTCCTCTGCCGGCTGGATGGCGGGGGCCGGGCGGCCCCGGTGCGCCGCGGTCTTCGGAGACCACTCTCGGCCGGCATTCGGACGGTGCCGACCGCGCTATTGCCGCAGTTTGTTTGGATTTGGCCGGAGCACGCCGCCGCGACGCAGCGCTCAGGGACAACAGAGCACGGCTGAATAATTGCGACCCACCTGGTTCCGACAGCGCGGATACCTCTCCATAGCCGCGCTTAATTCGGCGGGCGAACTGAGAAGGAAGAACAGAGATGCGGAGTGGCTGGCTGATGGTGAGCAAGGTAATCAGTCGTCGGAAAGCCTTGTCCCATTCTGCCTGGCTTTGGCAAGGCAGCGTTGCCAATCCGGTTGCTTCATTTACCGTGAGGCGAAGAGAATTCCACCTGCTGAGCTATTGCCTTCAACAAACCACATCCCATCGGAACGCCGAGCTGTCGGCAAGAGCAGGCAGTTATAATTTCGGTCTTACTTTTGACATCCAGAGAATACGGGCGGGTCAGAAGATGTGGACGGCAGTCAGCCGTGTGCTGTGGCTGAGTTGGTTTTTGCAGCATTCGCTGCGGAATAGCGATGTGCTAGGTCGGAGATGGCTGCCTCAATGACAGATACGTTTCCATCCTCTTTCGCTTATCGCTATAATATCATAGATATCGGGATCAATGCACGAGTTTCGCAACCATTTCCGTTGGTTATCGCTTGGAAACGACCGCAGCATGCTGATCGCTGTCGTTTCGAAAAAAAAACTACGGCCATTCGTTTTGTCACTTTTCAACGATTCGCAATGTGAACTGATAATGCCATATGGTTTCTTGTGTGTGCTACTGTAACAGAAAGGCTGACGTGGCTAGATGCTGCATGTACGTGTTCTGTGCATGCACGCATGCCAATACCGCATCACGCGTTGCTGAAGGGCATCTCGACATGAGGCATTCACAGGGGCAACGGAAGCTACGCCCAAATCATTCAGATTCGTTCTGCGTCAAGGAACAAGCGAGTCATGACAGGTGAGAGAATCAAAATAGTCATCATGATTTGATTTCATCATGATGATAAAAAATCAAGATTATCACCATGATATCGCATCACCTCATTCATCCACTCCGGTTGCCGAGATCTGACATCCAACCCTTACTGAACCCGTCTTAGGACCCGCTGTTCCGTGGTCTGTCATCAAGCTGGCGGGATGATACGCACCGATCCATGTCCTGGCTAATGGGATTGTCCGTTCTCTCAGCTGTCAAAATGTGTTAGCACCTTGCCACTGAGATGTCTGGTCGTCAAAATCTAGGTGTGACATCCAGCCATAGTCTTCTGGGTTTTAACATTAAACAAATTCTACGTTTCTCGTGTTAACCTAATAAGCAGCGTCTTAAGCCAGTGCTGCAAGGATCATGCAGTGTTGCAGTGATCATGTCTGCTCATGCTTATAGTTTGCGCGCAGAATGCCTCCATACAGCACGACTTTTGAGCATTGCGCTGTTGCTGACACAATGAGACATGCATGGGACTGGGCTCCTTGCTCACACAGTGAAAGTCATTGCTCACCCATCCCGCTTGTAAGCAATCGGGATGGCCGGTCCAGGCCGGGTCCCTCAACTCAACAGATTTTCCACTGCCGAACTAAGACCCGCAGGACCTTCAGCCCCACCCGAAGCCAGTCGGGAACATGCGGTAGACATATTCCAGCTCGATCGCGACTACCAGCGGCTCTGACCTGCGCGAAATTAAAGGGCGTTTTACGAGATGGCCATCGACGCCGTGACGGGAGTGAATTGGGCCCGGTGATGTTCTCACCATTGTTCTGGAGCGAAGCACAAGCACGGCGCCAGCAGAGCTGGCGCCGAAGCACTTCAGACTGTGGGTAGATGAAAAGCCAAGCACATCATGTGACATTATGACACAATGTTTTGTCGTCGATATCAGATGTCGTCGGTACGCCACTGTATGAGTGAAATTGGGGCCAAGCATATTTGTAGTGCGTGGCACCGGTAAGTTGCACCGCACATAACAGAGTTTTAGAGCCGTATCCCAGATATCGGGTTGTTTATCGCCTGCACTCACGAACTTTGCTTTTACAAAAGTGAATGCAGTAATGTTCATTAATGATGCATCTTTAAATATGAGGGATGTTGGAACATTTCACTGAAGTCGTTAGAAACAATAGACCCCGCGCCCAGCCATTCATTTTGTCTCGCGCCGATCAAACGGGTCGAGCCAGTCACATGTCATCCTCGAAATAGCTCTCAGCCGGCCGTTCTGGGAGCGAAGCATGCAATGACTCCGAAACAATTCTCGTTGAGGTTGGCTCGTGCATGCTGAGCAGTCGTTTCGCAGCGGTCGAGTAGAATGATTCGAGCGCTCGTTGACTCCCGCTGTATGGGGAGTGCGGTCTCGCGCCGGGATGGTCGCACTGCGCGAGCTCCGGCGGCTTCACATGCGGGCGCTTCTAAGGATTGTGGTTGGCCAACCCAAGGTACGCGGTACCGTAGGTAGAGCTCTGTACTTATCTAATACAGGCCCCTTCCCTCTGTTCTTTTGCCCTAACAAGGGTCCTGCGGACGCTGCGTCGACAAAAATGACTGCAAATCCGGACGTGCCGCCCCCCTTCCCCCCCTCCCCCCCCCCCCCGTTTGCCATCGGTGGTAGGGCGAAATTTCACCTCCACTCAGTATAAAGCTAAGCAAAGTAAGCAATAAATGGAACTTATGTGTAAGTTAGTGGCGCCTTATTATTTTGCATCTTGTAACTTCCACCTCATAATCCGCATTAAACGCATTTCCTTGCTTCCACTTAACTTGCATTACATGAAATGGTGTTGTGGAGAAATTCTAAATTATCTCGCGTTAAATTGGGGCAAACAAGGCCGTTTATCTTCAACAATGCGCACGACTACTCCGAATTACTCGCAAACAGTTTCATAAATACTCTCGTCATCAGATAAGCTTCGCTCGCTGTGCTCGTGCTTTCTGCGCGCATACAAACCGAGCAGCTCACATCATTACAGTGGAGTGTCTTCAAGTGTCAGCAGCTTGAGATGTCATCCCATGCCATCTCCTCATCGCAGAACACAGTCGGCATTCACAGAGGCACCAACAGCGCCCACTATCTGTGTTTTCGGCTGTTTTTTTTGTTTTACGAGCGCGGCCAGGACGACGCAAACGAAGACAGACGGCTGGTATGTCTCGACTCCGGTCGACTGTTGCCCTGTCGGTGAAATCGACGCGGAACGGCCGGGGCGCGAGCACCACTGCACGTCTGTTTACAAGGCTGCAGACGGAGATTTACGCGCCGGCTTTGGCCAGAGTCGCTCGTCCGCGTCAAATCCCAGTCCATTCCTTCAGCTCGATCAGAATACACAGCGCGCCCGGCGATGGGAGGCGGAAACGGTTCCGTAGTCGGGCCCGGCTCTACGCTCGGTGAGCGCAAAAAAGGAATGATGCTTGAATGGTCAACACAAACCGGCCAGTCATCTCCCAATGATTGCCATAGCTTGCTAAGTGACGCCCAGTGGTTCATGTTGTTGAGTCCATCGGGAGTTGAGTCCCTTGTTGAGTGCATCGGGAAAGTTGACGAGACAGACTGCACCATCGACGTTAACTGCATGTACTTGAATGATCACATGGCGTGTAACGCGCGGTGCCAGGTCGACACAATTCTGCATGCAGCCACCCAGAGAACGGCACCTGCGCAAAGCACGGTACCCAGAGAGTTTCCGCTCTCCATATGCTCGCCATTGATCTGCATTAGAGGCAACATGCGCTGGCCCGTTCTTTGCACATCCCAAATTCATACAACCTCGACTGCGCGAGGAGCGTGACCAGGTGCGCGCCGCACGTGGCGCCGGCCAGCCGTAACGGTCGCGCGTGCCGTTACAGAGCCGGACACGGAGATCCTGGGCGGTCCGGAGATCTTCATCGACCAGCAGAGCACCATCAACCTGACTTGCGTGATCGAGCACGCGCCCCAGCCGCCGGACTTCATACTCTGGGAGCACGACAAAAAGGTGAGGCATTGGTGACCGAGCGGTGTTGTCATCACGTGGGACCCCGCCTGACGATGGCCGGGACGCGCCGGTGTGACGTCACTGCAGGCGGATGAACTGGCGCGTCTGCAGCTGTGCTCAGATGATCCAACGTGTCCGCGGCCCTGCTCAGATGGTCCAACGTGTCCGCGGCCCTGCTCAGATGGTCCATTGTGTCCGCTGCCCTGCTCAGATGGCCCATTGTGTCCGCGGCCCTGCTCAGATGGTCCAACGTGTCCGCAACCCTGCTCAGATGGCCCAACGTGTCCGCGGCCCTGCTCAGATGGCCCATTGTGTCCGCGGCCCTGCTCAGATGGTCCAACGTGTCCGCAACCCTGCTCAGATGGTCTAACGTATCCGCAGCCCTGCTCAGATGGTCCAACGTGTCCGCGGCCCTGCTCAGATGGTCCATTGTGTCCGCGACCCTGCTCAGATGGCCCATTGTGTCCGCGGCCCTGCTCAGGTGGTCCATTGTGTCCGCGGCCCTGCTCAGATGGTCCATTGTGTCCGCGGCCCTGCTCAGATGGTCCAACGTGTCCGCGGCCCTGCTCAGATGGCCCATTGTGTCCACGGCCTTGCTCAGATGGCCCAACGCGTCTGCAGCCCTGCTCAGATGGCCCAGCATGTCCGCGGCCCTGCTCAGATTGTCCATCGTCATTATCCGCCGACGATCCGGCGCCTCTTACCCCCGCCGTCAGATGACCATGTGCGTCCGTTTCCCGTCCCCAGACGATCAACTACGACTCGGAGCGGGGGTGGTGTTAGCGTGGTGACCACCAAGGGCCGCACGACGGTCTCGCAGCTGCTGATTCGCGCCGCTCGGCCGCCCGACAGCGGGCGCTACACGTGCCGGCCGGCCAGCTCCAAGCCAGCCTCCGTGCGCGTGCACGTCCTCAAAGGTGGGCAGAGCGCCCCGCGCCCTGGCAGCGCCGTGCGTCGAGTGGAAGGGGGGGGGGGGGAGATGGAGCGGCTTAGAGCGCGGTGAGTGGGAAGTGGGCTAGGTGCAGACAGGGTGGGGGGTGAGCGGGATGATTCGGCGCCAGAAGGTATGGGGCTTGTCGACATAACCAGTAGTGGGTCAGGCTACGGCCCGGCCCGGACCTAAATCGGAGCCTACTGCGGCCCGGTCCGGACCTGAATCGGAGCCTACCACGGCCCGGCCCGGACCTAAATCGGAGCCTACTACGGCCCGGCCCGGACCGAAATCGGAGCCTACTACGGCCCGGCCCGGACCCAAATCGGAGCCTACTACGGTCCGGCCTGGAATCGAGTCCAGTTTTTTGGTCTCCGGTGAACCGATCAGGTAAATCAGTCTTCATCTCGGAATCACAAACCAAAGAAACAGCGGATTCGGACACGACCTGAAACCAAGCCTGAAACGGCGCGAGTCAAGCCTATACCCAAAGATACTGAAAACCTCGAACCCAGACTCGGACACCCAACTTAACTTGCGTGCTTCAGGCATTGGGTTGGACAGGTTTAAATTAGCTTCGATGAGTCCAGTTGAATTCCGTTCGGCTTTCAGGGCTCACTGTCAGCACACGCAGCTGTAGCTTTTCTGATGCTGATGACTTCTCTGGCCACGGTGTTCTGACGCTGGCATTGCATTAAGTTAGGTTACAGGCAAGACATAGGCCCGAGCGCAGGCAATCCGCAAAGATTCCAGCGTTGTCACCAAGAAGGCCTTGTTTCAAGCGAATCAGCGCATTTCACAGGTTATTGGGACCTTGAGCTGGTCAGTTTAAAGATATGGCGAAAACGGGGTCGGGGGTTCCACTCAAAACACAACGTAACGTGGATCGAACTAAGATTTGCTGACGGGCTCAGCAGGGGAGGGTTCAATGGAGGCATGCTCCCCAAAACAGCGGAAAAGGCAGATCTGCTCTGCGCTGCGTTTTCGGGTGACTACCTGCTTGACGTGGTATGACATTTGGAACTTAATCCCGAAAAATGCTCGGTCCACCTTCACTCAGATGCAGAATATTCCGAATATCTAGAGATGTAATGTGGGCTTAGGCCAAAACAAAAATCAAGAACTACTCAACTTGTGGCAAAACCAAATTACCATGACCTCATGACCTTACATAACCTCAAATTCTGTGAAAGGGCCTGTTGCATCGATTGGGAGTCCCTGGGACAGTCCGGGCCTCTTTTTTTGACCAGAGACCACAAACACTGCACACTCGGCTACGTGTCGGTCTGAGCCCTGAAGGCACATTTGCCAAGCACGAGCAAGGCCGAGCCCGCGATTTTCATGGGTCGGGGTCACTGAAACAGCGAGTGTGTCGGTCAGGGAGCCCACAGTGTTTAGCAGGGGATGCTATGTCGTCAAGTGGCGCGGGTCGCCACGAGCCGTGTGTGCGGGATTCCGAAGAGCGGCCCGAAGGATTCCTCGCAACCTAAGGTTAAGCGCCCGATAGAGCTCGGGCCCGGACCCCATCGGTAGTGCCGTGATCTGAAATGTCAGGGACCCTGTTAGGGACTGTGGTCCCTGATCAACACAGGAGCCTGTCATTGTGTCAGGGGCCATTAGGGACCCATCAGGGCTTCTACCAGGGCTCTGTTATTAAGTTTCTCTATCTTTATTGTACAGGGCCTCGACGCAGAGTCAAACAGTCGGCTCCACGCCCGTCTGAGTCATTGGGACCCATTTCCCACGCTGAAACGGGGCCGGGGGAGCGACATCCAAGAAATTGTCCGCGGCCGCTGGCATGGCGCTGCCAGTAGTTAGCACATGGCGGGATGTCGCTGGCAGCCGCTGGCACAGTGCAGGCTGCTGGAGGGATGTCACTGGCAGCCGCTGGCACGGTGCAGGCTGCTGGAGGGATGTCACTGGCAGCTAGAGGGCCGTCACTGGCAGCCAAAGGGACGTCACTGGCCGCCGCTGGCACGGTGCAGGTCGCTGGAGGGTCGTCACTGGCAGCCGCTGGCATGGTGCAGGTTGCTGGAGGGTCAGCGGCGGCAAGTGACGTCACTGGCCGCCACAGGGACGTCACTGGCCGCCGCTGGCGCGGTGCTGGCAGCCGGAGGGACGTCGCTGGCAGCCGTAGGGACGTCAGCGACAGCTGGAGGGACGTAACTAGCCGTCGCTGATACGATGCTGGTAGCTGGGGGGACATCAGTGGCAGCCGGAGAGACGTCGTTGGTAGCTGGAGGAACGTCGCTGGCCGTCACTGGTGCAGGAGCGATATTTTTGGCAGCCAAAGGAAAGTCACTGGTAGTCGCTGGCACGGTGCTGGTAGCCGAAGGGACGACGCTGGCCGCCGCTGGTACCGACGAGTCGCCCACCAGGGGCGGAGCCGGCACGGGGCTGGTAGCTGGAGGGACGACGCTGGCCGCCGCTGGTACCGACGAGTCGCCCACCAGGGGCGGAGCCGGCACGGCTGCCGATGGTGCTGTGGAGAAGAGATATCGTGATATTAGGATACACTGGCAGTAAGGTGCACAAGGCTCAGCATGGCAGAATACCTCATACCATCACCACCACCAGCAGTGATGTCATGCCAGCAGATGGCTAAGAAAGCGCAAACCTCAACAAGCAGTATCATGTCACTAAGAGGAGGTGCTCTTTCATCATGGGTGCATGTTGCCTCTTTTCATCTTGATTGCGAAGCCTTACATTTAATACTAGTTAATTTCACCTTTGTTCACAAGCCACACTTGTGTTGTGAAAATTATGTCAAGTTAAAGTGAAGACCATGCCAGCATTTTTCTTTATTTTTGCCAACAATGTCAAAAGTAACTTAACAGTCCAACACTTGCCCCAAATGTGTTCACTTACCGCCAGTAATCTAAAGTAGATCTACATGAACCGACCAGTTCAGATTGCTTCTTTCTCTTCCGCTCTGCCCTAAACTGTGCATCTGATCTTCTTCGTTCCTTCTTTTAAAAAGCCATCCTGAAGCCAAACGAGTACCGCATAGGGAGATGAAGTTGGAATCTTTTGTTGACAGCGTGTTCCCACCAGGGGCGCAGCCACGGTTGGGCGGAGTTCACTAGGGGGCTAACCGGTCTGCATCGATGTGGCTCCTCGGCGTCGGCAGATGTCTCTCGCCCCCAGTTTTTGGAGATGGCTCTTGCAGGTGTAATGGCTGGAATGGGCCACTAAGAGTTTTCAAACGGACACTTCTGAAGTTTAGGATAGGCCTTTTTGCAGCATGAAATCGGCCTTTTCTGTGTACGACAACTCGATAGCCCTCTCAGAGCTCGAATTGGCCTCTCAAGAACTTGAAAGAGCAGCAGCAATATGCTCTTTTTCTACTTAAAATAAAATGACCCTCCCCGGCGCCCCAGAGTGGAACACACCGAAGAGTGGCGAGGGAAGTAAGTCCCCTTCGCCGCCTAGCTGTGTATTCGATTCTCATAATACATGCAGCATAAATATTGCACACGGTATGCCCAATGGATCCCTTATGTTCCACACCCGATCGATTGTACTTGAAGCACCATTTCTGACTTTCGCGCAACCGACGAAAGTCCAAAAGCAGCGGTATTGGAACTACTTTGGCTTCACCAACCGCCCCCCCCCCCCCGGACCTTTTTCAGCTTTGGGCGACTTAAGCGGCGTGGGAGCGAGCTGTTCAATCAGTAAACTAGACGTGTTCCCTACGGCATGTGCCGGTTTAAAGCCCAAAATGACGCTTTTTTTGGATGCACGACGGTTGCAAGTCCAGATGTCCGAGGCCTTACGAAACTTGGTATCTGAAATCTGTTCCTGCAAGCACTGTATCCCTGACTCACGGAAATAGTAAATGTCTTTTCCAGGACAGCTGTCCGCTCCATTCGGGGCCGCCTTAGCCCGTTAATCCACGGTCCGTACGTCTTTGGAGGCGGTGGTGACTTTTTGGACCATTTTATGTACCCCCGGGTTGTTGTAATGACGTGCATTAGATGCAATGTGCTTCATGCATTGGCTTTCCTCTCGCCCCCCCCCCCCCCCACCGAGCGGCCACCTTCTCAGGCTCATTTTCCCCAGCAACAGCTTCGCCCCTCAGGCCCCGAATCAGGTGACGGTTTAATGCTTCTGCGTCTGCGTGTAACCACTGCGCGTCTGGGAAACCAGAGGTACGGGAGGTCTACATCGTGCTTTATCTGTATACATAGGTAGTTGGTGCTAGGAAAATACTCGCTAGCACCGGGCACGGTCAGCAGTTTGAATTCAAAGAACCATGGCGCTCGCGCTTGATTTTTACTGGCTGTTACATCCAATGAACAGACGACGAGAAGGAAACTTAGCATTCTTAAGCAGAGGTACCAGTGCTATGCAAACATGTTTCATCACGGCCAATTTCGAGGAACTGCGACTTAAAATTCGAGCCAACCGCCGTGTTCCGAGTCCTGTTTGTGAAGCAGTGTTCCAGCCCTGTTGACGCCGCTTGGTTCGTGTCGTGCACCATCATCTCCGGCGACTGTCGCTTGACGACGAGCATTAGCGCGTAGGAACTGCTCGAGAAGCCTTTGTTCATTGTCTTAGTCACGTAATAAAAGCTGACGCAGCCATCGGGACCGCTCACCTTGCGCTGCCACGCGGCCAACTCAGCCCCCCCCCCCCTCCCCCCACCACAACCACCCCCCCCCCCCCCCCTCCACGCGACCGCCCTTCTTGAGATGGCTTTGAGACGGACTGGTTGCTGCGGCAGTTTAATTCAGCTGCATACTGTCAACTTTTCATTCATTCATATGTGATGCCCTTACCGTGTGAAAGAGGGATGATATCATCCTCCAGGGGCCGCCGCCGGTTACTGGGGCGCCAATGCTTACGCATGGTAAAGGTGCAGGTGAGGTTCTAAAAGTATATTATCGTTTATATTTGTTTTGTATTCTGACGAGCAAAGCCTGCAGGAGAGATGGCCCCGAGTCGCCTGGCCTGGCAGGTATCCGGACACTTTCTGTCATTACG